CATGGAGATCCATGACTGAACACCATAGAGCTAGGGCACCAGGGAGAGAATACCTCAGAGGATGGGGATAAAATGAAAGGAGGGAGCTATGTAAGCTGCCTTAAGCTCTTTGAGGAAAGCTGGAATACTGCTCTAACAAATAAATAAGTAAATAAATAATATTCCTAAACATGTAACTTTTCTCTTCAGGAAATATATACATTATTTTGGTAGTCAAAATCATTGCTACGAAGGATGAATTTCATAAGAAAATGGCATGAGGGAAGGGTTAAACCACAGAAAGACAGAGATCCAATTATTTCTACAATAGATTTTTAAAAAGCAAAGAAATTCAATCATGGATCACCAGCTATCACATATAGTTTCTTTTTTTTTTAACTGCACTATCTCAGGCTCTTGGAAACCAGACAGAATTCATGGGTAGCAGGACATATAAAAGAAACAATTGTGAAAAATTATATATAACCTGTTACTATCTGCTACTGATTGTTCTATCTTTGGTTCAACCAAAATGTCTCACAGACTTGTCTCCGAAGAGTCAGCATCAGTATCTGCAAAAAAACAACAAAAAAAGTCAAGCTTGTGTTTGCCTTCATGGTTCCCAAAGTGAATACACAGTCCCCAGTTTAAGAACGAGTTCTATTCCCAAGGTCTGTCCTTAAGATGCATTTGTATGTAAGCCAGAACAGTATTATTGTATAATATTGTATAAGTAGCATTGTGTCATGAACTCAAACCATTGTATATTTAACTCAAATCATTGTGTTTTAACTCGAATTTTACTACAGTAGGCTCCGTTCTTAACTATGCATCATCTGTAACCCAGGCGTTCTTAACCCGGGAACCACCTGTACTAAATATCCTTCTGGCTAAGGAGAAATTATAATTACAAGTAATATTTGGGTTGTACTACCTGTAGTGAACACTGCTTCATACTCTAAGTTTATTATGTGTAACAACTAGGATGCTTTACATATAACCTGAAAATGAAAGTGTACTTCTGACAACTTGTTTGCACACAGTATAATTAATATTTTGAGAAAAATGTGCAGGTCAGAAAGCCTTCAGTTCCTTCTTGAATAAACATTTAGGCAACTTCCCCAGTTCTTCCTATACAACATTTAATTATTAATCACATTGCTATCCCACTGCAATCAAAAGACTCTTGGGGGCTTACACAGAATATAAATCGGATAAAATATCCCTGGTACAAAATTCCATAAAAACAATAAAAATGAACACCCACCAAACATAAAAATACAAACAATGAAAATAGAATTTGAAGATAGCATGATTAAATCAGGAAATAGCTCTCTTATTTATAATGATAAAACCACAGCATCATCTACTTTTATTTACCAATACCCTTGGCCCCAGGGAGAAGTTGTCTAATTGGAAAAGAGGAGCATGTGAAATCATTTCATGTGCAAACTATATTTCAGGGGTGTCTCTATTCATGCTTGCACAGATCCTTCCACATTTCCTAATTGACACTTATGCTTATATCCTCGCATGCCTCAGTTCAATCAAGCTAACAATACTTGTTTTGTTCAAGTCTTTGCAGACCACCTACACAAGATAGAAAGCCATCTTTATAATAAATAATTCTATGAGAGTGGCAAAATTAATCCATAACAGTTTTTGCTAAACAGATGCAAGCCAATATTAGCTACCGATATGTCTATCATCCTAAAGATCCTAATACCTATAAAACTGGAAATAACGTTCATGGTACACTTGAGAATAGCAAAAGGAGATAAATCAGTTATCAATCACCAGTGGAAAAAATGACATCTGTCTGCAAAAATTTAATTTCCATGGAAGTTGCTCTCTGTACCCTAAAAGATACATGAAGCATATACCTCAGAATGATGCCAGTAACAAATGCGAAGAGGCCACCTGGTGTCCAACGGGGCTACAGGACAGATGAATTTGGTGCTGGGTGAGATAAATGACAATAAAGCTTATCCCAAGCTGAACATTTATAGTACAGTATCACAGTCACCTTTTCTCTTAACCTCAATTTCAGTGACAAACAAATTACAGTACAATAAAACAAAAACTTAACTGGCACACATCTTCCAAGTGTATTAATATACTCAAATGAGGTTTTTTTTTTTTCACGTGAATTAAACATTTACCCTGGAACCTGTTTCAGTACTAGGACGTAATACACCCTTTCCCTGACAATAAAGCTTATCCCAAGCTGAACATTTATAGTACAGTATCACAGTCACCTTTTCTCTTAACCTCAATTTCAGTGACAAACAAATTACAGTACAATAAAACAAAAACTTAACTGGCACACATCTTCCAAGTGTATTAATATCCTCAAATGAGGTTTTTTTTTTCACGTGAATTAAACATTTACCCTGGAACCTGTTTCAGTACTAGGACGTAATACACCCTTTCCCCAACCTTGTGCCTTCCCAATACGCTGTATCACAACAATCTACTACAATTCCCATAATTCCCAGTAAACCCGATCAAACGTGGGACTTGCACCTGGAGATCCCCAGACTGAGGAAGTTTGTTTTAAACCCGAGACCCCCAAGAAGGGTCTCCCTAACTCGGTGTGAGGCTCCCAGCGCAGAGTGGAGCATTGCAGAGCAGAGCAAATGCCAGCAGCCTCCCCAGAGCGCGAGGTTAGCAAGGCAAGCATTGTTTGTCCCCGCCGCCCCATCACCAGCTGATCCGCGCGGGACTGCCACGCGCAGGGCCATCCGGGAGAAAGGGAAGGCGTCGCGCGGACACACAGCGACCCTCCACCCGCTGACTCCGCCGCTCCAAAGAGGAGGACGGGCCGAAGGGCTTCCTGTTTTCTCGCGAGACAGGGCGAGAAAGGGTTAAGCGATTAAGCTCCCTAACAATAATGATTTACCTGCGAAAAGCCCAGGCGGGGGTGAAGGAGGAGGAGGAAAAGAGCAGAGAATAGAAGAACGTACCCCCGGCAAGTGAAGTGTTTCCGGGAAAAAGTCGGAAATTGCGTCTGCTCAATGGTTCGCTCAGATTACTATTCATGAATATGGGGGGGATTGATTCAAGTGTCCTTCTCACCCGGAAAGGAGATGGTTTATTCCTCTGGCAGAGCCAATGAACCGGCGCGCTTTCAATTCTGAAGCCATCGTGTCGGCCGCGTCACATCACGTGGCAAGGAGGCGTGTTTTAGTACGCGAGAGGTCGAATGAGAGGAGTTGGCGATTGGTTTTTGTCTTAAAGAGAGAAACCTGTTAAATGCAATTTAAAAATCTGTATTGCATCCAATGTGTGTTTTGTAAAAGACAGTCCTCCTGCCTTTTGCATTTCACGGCGCTCTGATCTCACTGTTTATTATTTCACCTGGTGTAAGATTTCACCTGCTGAAAGGTATCTGCATTGCAAAAATCCGGACAATCATTGGATGGAAGCAAAGAATTACTCTTCTTTATCTCTTTGCCGCCATCCAGTATATGACATCCATAACCAACACACTGTTCCATTTCAGAGGAACCAGCGTTATGCAAAATGCAGAAAAGAAGTAAGAACTAATTCATACAAATGAAAGGCAGAAGATACGAAAAGGAAATGGCTAAAACTAGTTTACACCAATGTCATATGTAGTACTTCCCCATACCTTTCCATGGTTACAAATCATGTTTGCTTTTTCCAGTCCATACACTTCACATATTGCCTTTTGTTCTGTAAACTTCTCACCTCTTGAGAGTCTCACCAACTCAACCATGACTCCCTTGGTTTTTCCATTCTTTCCAACCAATCACTTGTCCTCCACGTATTTGTTTTGCAGTTTGATCCTTTTGCAGTTTGATCCTCATTCATTATGTGACTGAACCACCTCAACTACTTTCATATTCGCTTCTGTTGGTACTTTCTTTGCTGATCAGTGGAATCTGCAGAACGGGACAGAATCTATGAGATGCATTTCATCTCACATGCACATTCAAAAGGGGTTGGGCTTGCATTGCAACATTCCATCTACCATCTTGCCAATTTTAATCCTGCCCCAGATCACTCATGTTCATATTCAGTCTAGTACTTTCATAACAGCACCCTTTTCTTCTTGACCCTATCTTTTGTTTAACCACACATCTTAAATATGCCATCCCCACTGCATCAACTGTATTCAACATTTCTCCTGACACACCCAACTCTCACTTCCATCTAACACATAATGAAGTGGACAGAAGCTCACTTTATTGCACTTTGCTTTATTCCACCAACATACTGTTGGAAGAAAAAGTTATCCTTACCAA